CACACGCGGGAATTGAGTCCCAAGCGACGATAACAATACGCGCTAAAATGCAAAGGCTCATGGGTAGACGCTTGATTGTAAACAGTGACACGCTATGGCCATCTTGCGCATGCTCAGATGACGCTTCCCCGCAGTAACATACCTAAATCTTTAGTCGAATTCTGTGGTTGTAAACACGCGCTGGTCTTGTCCGTCACGTGACCACAGTTGATGGATAAACCATACCGAGCCCACGTGACCGAACCAAAGCATCACCACAGTCTTTACTAATCTCTTGACAGAACGCGTGACATAACGGGCGAGGAAGGTACCTTTCCGGTGATGGGCATTCTGGGACGAATTTAGTGCACAGATAAAAGTCAATATCTGAATGACATCCACTGACGTATTCCAATAACGATCCAACTTTTGTTGTCGTTTCTCCCACGGCATTCACTGGTAATGTAGTTCTATTATAAGGCAGTTGGTCACATATATCGACGTAGTTATCGTGACATTGATATTCGTCACCGGGGCTCCACGAGTTTTGTGTTGTCCGGGAAACCAGTGTCGGCGTAGATCGGATAACATCGTTGGGTGTCGGCGTAGATTGAATAACTTCGGTTGGTGTCGGTGTAGATCGGATAACGTCGGTGAAATTCCGTGTAGGTAGGAAAACTTCAGTTGAAATAACTGTGTAAGAGATATAAAAAAAGTAGCACTACGTATGAATGATTTGTTTTATGAATACCATTCCCAGAAGATATGTCTTAGGCGAAGTTCGCCAAGAAATAATAGCAGACCTGTCGAGCAAAATTGAAAAATAAAAATTCCAGAAACGAGGTTTTGTGTGTTATTAGTTAGAATTATCCATCTATGCGACGATACAGGTTTTGAACTTACCTTGGTGAGGAGGTACAGTCTCTTTAGTTGCCACGGTAACGTCACTGTGGCTCCCGGTCATCTTTGCTGTATCGGAATTCCCAATGCTGAAAACTGAAAGAAAATATGACGTCATTATCACTCTGATGTAGTTGATACAGTCACCATTACCCGGTATGTAGCACAGTGTCGGCGTGTTCCTACCAGTTAGGGTGAATTCAGAGCCAATACAGTACTGATCTAACTATTTGGAGTGAAAATGGCTTGATAAATATAAAATTATCGTGACTTGGCGCATTTGTTACAGAAGCTTCAATAATAAAACAACCAGCTGAAACGCTCATTATTTCCAAGAAACTTAACATATGATCTGAATAACGTGTTGGGATTTAGTATATGACCCAAATTTTGTCTATGTCAAAATACCGGTAGAATCTGATATCATAAAAATACTAGTGGATTACCTGTGTAATATACAACAACAGTGGTTATACCCACAAATACAGAGATTAACAGCACAAAACCAATAAAATATCTTGTTTTCCAACGTGTTCTTTCTTTGGGTTGTTTATTCTCATCTGGTTCTTCCCATAACGTCATTTTTTCTCTACTCGAAAAACGGCGAAATCCTATACCAACATTAGTCGTTTCGAACTCGCCGTTGGCATTCTGAAAAGGAGTCTCACTTTGGCCTTGTCTGTAGTGAGCACGTCCCCCATTGACGTGGCTCTGTGAATATAAAAGTGTTTGTGCAATGGTTAGCCCTAAATAAAACAAAATCAGCTGATTGGGTTACGTTAACCGTCCGGGACGTATCCGCTGTTGCACTGTTAACCAGTTTCTTTCTGTGCATTTCTTTATTCATAAATTCAGCACACTGCAGGCGAACACTGGTAGTTCTTTATGTTGGCCTATACGTATATGGGTATGGAACAAATGTTCCTATGAAAATAGAAAAAATGGCTGTGTTCCCATCGAAATAAAAATGGATACGGATTACTGCATTAGCAGTAAAAATGGATTGCCGTTTTCTCAAAATGACGTACTTGTACCAAGTAGAATTACTTAGACAGCGTTCTCCCC